TCATCAATGGATTGATTTTCTAAATTCAAATAATAGAAAGGTGGGTAAGTGGATGTCGCTCTGCTGTACTGTAGGTTACAAGTGGGTCACTGTATAATGGATGGTATTAAATTTGAATTCAATGATACAATATCATTGTATAAGAAAAACGATTCTGAGCGAAGACGGTATGTCAGTCTAGGTTTAAGACAAATTATATACATATCTATGGTATTAAAAAAAAAATTGACCTATAATAAATTCCAAATTAATCATATCACATTATCACAATATCAATTAGGTACTTATAACACGTTATACATCAACATCAATAACAAATCCTGATACTATCATTGATATATAATAGTAAACTTCAGAAGTTTCAAGTAGGTACCCATGAATAATATTATATAATCACAACAAAATAACTAGGTTTTTTAATGTGTAATATTGTCCAAATTTGAACATAAAATGACTATAAAATTAAACTGTGATTGTATATTTTTTAGATTTTTTGGGAAAAGAATTAACTACTTACGTGGAATCTTGTTTTAAATTTTCAATCCTTAGCTATAAAAACTGATTATTTTATAATTTATTAATTACGATGATTAATCATTTTCGAGATTTTGAAAAATTCTGTTAAAATTCGATGTTTAAATGCTTATAAAAAAAAACTGCGCCTATGTATTTTTAATATTTTTCAACTGATATTGTAACAATATATCAGGAGCCTTGTATTAAATTTTTACACTTTTGGCCCAACAGATAAAACTTTATTGATATTCATAGAAAAAAAAACTTAAAAAATTAAAAAATGAAAATATCCGTAAACAGCTCAAAAAGAGTCAAAATATTTTCAAAATTGTATGGTGTATAGGAAATGCTTATACAAACATTCAGTGAAATTTTCATGTATCTATAGTTATTCGTTTATGAATAACAATAAAATAAGGAAATCGCTACATGAGAAATCGAGTAAACATCCAATGTTGTAAAAATTTGAATTTCAAACGCTCATAAAAATTTAATTTGACTGTCCGGTAGAGATTTTTTTATTGATAAAGGTAGACAAACATATGAATAATCTTGTATTACATTTTCAAATCTTAGATTTAAAAAGAAACATTTTTACGAATACTTAACTCAAAATAATTTGCTAATTTTCGTGATTTGTCAATTTTTGAACTTTAAATGCTTATAAAAAAAAACTGTGACTAACGATTTTTAATATTTTTCATCTGCCTTTGAAACAATATAGTAGGAACCTTCTATTAAATTTTCAAGTATTTCTACTCAACAAACAAAGTTTTATTGATATTTTTAGAAAAAAAACTAAAAAAAAATGGAAAATGAAAATGTCCCTAAACAGTTCATAATAAATCAAAATATTTTGAAAATGTTATCATGTATAGAAAAGGCAAATATAAACAACCAGTCAAAATTTCATGTTCCTACAGTCATTTGTTTTAAAGTTACACCAAAAACCAAATTCGATTTTGTCAAAAACCTATTTTGCGTAAAAATTCCCGTTTTTCCTTTATTTTTATGTTGTTTTTCCCGGCGCTTGTGAAAACTATTGGGAATTTTAAATTTTGACCTCCCCAATGCACCAACGATATTCACTCTCCAATCGAACAAGATACTGAAGTCGAAAATCGAAGCATTATTTCGACTACTTATCGTGTACACAGACACAAAAAAAAAAAACACACATCATTGTAAAATCAATACATTCATCGTTTCACTCAGAATCTAAAACTATTTTTCTTCACTTTTATAAAGTAATAGTACTTTTTATCACTATTCCGGTAACAACTTGTTTATGTGAACGTGCATTTTCTAAGCTGACAATTGTAAAAACAAAACTCCGCAGCACCATGACTCAAGAAAGACTTGACGCTTTAATGTTTCTATTCATAGAACAACAGATGACAACAAATATTAATTATGACGAAGTTATCGAGGAATTTAAAGTGATGATACCAACAAAACGACGTTTAGAATTATAATATATATTAAGTATTAAGACCATTTGTGATTATAAAAATATTTGTAAAAAGTATTAGGTACACATTAATTATATTTTAAAATACAATTTTATATTGCCTTGTTATTTTATTTATCTAATAAAAGGAATATTGTTTTTTATTCTGAAGTATTAGATAATAATTAATAGGTAATGATAAAGCTTATTAAGAAATTTGGAGGTCATATCCTTAAACCGAAACCAAATTTTTTTTTTAGTGGATGGGGGGTGCAGAAACCTACTTCCCCTGAATATGCCACTACTGTGAATGACCTGCGAACAAGGTCTGGACAGTGGACACGCCTATGTACTGTATTGTAAACTTTAAAACTGTACCATACCTATTGATTTTTATTATACTATATTTTTTTGTAATTGATTTTTATTTGACAATTTAAAAAATAGGTATACATTTTCAAATACAACCAATATGTTGGTTATTATAACCAATTTAACTGAAAAAATAGGTAACAGTAAGTTAATTAAGGATCAAGGTATACCTTCAGTGAGAAAAAAAAATTTCGGTTTTCAAACGAATAGCCCCACCTAGAGATCCTATTCTTACATAAGCTTACAAGATGGTGCTCCGGCCCATAACTGCCGGCAGGTTCAGGACTATTTAAACAACATTTACGGAGGTAATTATGATTATCATCATATTTTGTTTGATTGCTACTTATAAAAATTTTAATATTATACATATAATATTTAAAGTTACACAATTTTCTTATCATTTATATTCATATAGGTATTTATTTACATTAACCCAATATGTTATGGATACAATTTATACAAATAAGTATTACATTTAATTTAAATTGTATTTTTAAGATAACTGGATGGGTACCCGGAGTCCAGAAAATTCAATGGCCAGCACGTAGTCCAGACGTGACACCTTTGGATTTTTTTTGGGGGGGATTTGTGAAGAATGCTGTTTATGATATAATGCCATCCAGTAAAAATGAGCGGATAAAAAAAATTACAGAAGTCTGTTCTGTTGAAAGTGAAGCTTGACGGACTAATGATGTTAGCATTAATATAATAAGTAATAACACGACAATATGATTATGTATAAGTATAATATATAATAACGTACAATTGGATAATTAAACTGTGACTATACACACACACCGCGTACACTCGGTATGACAGCGTCTGTGCAAGTGAATATTACATACATCAAAGGCCCTATTTATATGAACAATCGAGGCCATCCCGTATCCGTATATAATATAGAAAGCGATAGTAAAGGTGTTACACAGCTATATCGTAACTGCATAAGTATCTATTAGAAAACGACATTGTACACCCACGTGTGTTTACATGGTTTGAATACTAATATTAATTGTATATTTCAACATGTTCAAATATACCAGCTGATATTATGAAAAAATGTACAACTGAAAATGTATTTTTTATGTCACAAAATGGTCAACATTTTGAACACATATTAAAAATAAATAAACCAAGAATTGTATGTAGTTGGATCAGTGGCGGCTATCAAACAAAATAAAGGTGTATCAAGTTTTGAATTTAGTTACCCACCCACCAACTCTGGTATACAATTTAGTGCCTAACCAATAATTTACATTTTTTATCCTACCCATAGAAGAAAAAATAGTTTAAGAATTTTTTTATTTAATTTAGTAATTTGTACAATATTAATTTTATGTAACTAAAAAATGGTTAGTTTTTCATAATAATTATAATAATAATAATATATTAATTGACTAATTCACACCAAATGTTTACTTAGTACAGAACTTTCTTCAGCAAAACTTTTTAATATATTGTCATGATCAATAACTTCTGAAGTATCTCTTTCACAACCAGTAAGTCTTCAAGCTTATTTTCTGTCATGGTTGTCCTTAATCTAGACTTAACGATTTTGAGCTTTGAAAAAACCCTCTCTGTTGATGCACTAGAAACTGGGAGAATCAGTGCAATTTTCATAGCTGTGTGTAGCACTGAAAATACTGAAGCCAAATTGTTATCGTGGAGTACTTTGTATACGTTTTTCATACTACATGCATTTATTGCAGTTATTGGATTCCGTTTGGGTAGAACTATTTCTTGTTCACTACTGTCTGATTCAACACTATCATAATTCTGCACATCTCTGTGAAACGATGTAGGTAGTGCTGTTGTTTCTTCAAACATTTTGTAAATTTGACAAAATTTTAGATATTCACTCTTTAAGATATCAATGTTTATGAATTTATTGTAAATTTTACAAAATTCCACAAATGCGTCATCAGGCATTCCATTTGAATTATTTTTTATCTCATTCATTCTTTTAGTGGAAAATAATGACAATTCTTTGTATATGCCCACAGCTGAGTTGTTGAAATATTGATCTAAATAGTTTAAAGTTGTGTCTAATGAATGTAAAACTGTTTTTATTTTAAAATTATTTAGTGGATCATCAACACTTTCATCACTACTTAATTCTCCTGGCATCTTTTTCTTCCGTCTTGTCCGTACAATTTTAAATTCAGAAAATTCCAGATCTTTTTTATCTGCAATAAATGAATTTATTTCTTTTATTAAATGGTGAAATATAGATTCATCTTTTCTTAATTTCAAGCAAATTGTTTTTGTTTCGTTTATGCTATTAACAGCAGCTAATCTCTAAGTCTGATGTTTGTAATAATGTATTCAGTGGTGCCAAAACATTGAATAATTGTTGAAACCATAGTGCAGTGTACACAAATCGTTTTGATAACAAATAATCTAGTAAACACCCACACATATGCCCAACCGAATGGTCATCTGGACCTTCGGTCTTTCTAACATGATCCAAAGTATCTATTACAGAGTCATAGGTTTCAAGAACAGCTTGCAGTGCTCTATCTTGTGACATCCATCTAGTTGTACTGACGCGTTTTAGACGACGACCTTTTTTTGTCAGTGAATATTTAATTTGCACTTCTTCATAATAGGCGACTCTTTTTTTACTATTACAAATGAAATTATATACTGTTTCCATATTTCAAAATAGGACAACAGCATCTAAGCTGCATCCTACTGTCTTTGCTACAACAAGATTTAATCGGTGAGCCGAACACCAGATAAAAGTCGCAGTAGGGCACTTTTCTTTTATGAATGACTGTAAGCCATTATATTCACCTCTCATATTCTGTGCTCCGTCATAGGACTGTCCTACTAAGTAGTTTTGCCAATCAAGGCACAAAGATGAACATATATCTTCAAATAGCTTAAATAATCGAAGACCAGTAGTTATGGATGATTCTTTTAAAGCAAGTAAACGCTCACATATTTGCCCATTCATTTGAAGATAACGTACAACAAATGATACTTGTTCTCTTCTCGAATAATCAAAGGTTGAATCAATTGATACACTAAAAAATTTTGAATGTTGTAGTTCATTTTTGATAAATGATTTTATACTGTTAGAAATGCTTGAAATTAGTTGATTCTGACGATTTTTTGTTAAAAAATTAACTTCGGGTTTTTTTGTCGACATTTCTAATTGAGTAATGTATGAAGCAAGACATGGAGAGTATTTTGACATCATATCAATAAGATTTAAGAAATTTCCACGATTACCCGGTTTTCTTAAAGATTCTCGATGTCCACGAAATGCTAAACAGTTTTTACTCAAAAACATTGTTGTATCAATTAGTACCTTAATTATTTCTCTGTTAATTGCTTTTTCTTGATTATTTTTTTCTTCAAGTAATGGCAATATAGGCAGTCAATCTCATTTCAAATTTTAATGACGCTTCAATATGAAAATCTGAACACTCGTGTAATTCTATACTGAAAACAGCTTTAGACCATGCGGAAAAACCTTCCTGTGTCCAAAACTTCTGGCCTTTCCTGCCAAATAAAATACAATGATGGCAGAATGCTTTGTTTCTAATTTTTGAGTAGCTTAACCAATCTCTTCGTATCAGTGTGTTTTCTGGTAATTTCTTCCAATACCAAGCTACTTGAAAACTACGACCACTTTTATCCTTTGGAAATTCTTTTGAAGCAATATCTTCATGAGTTGGTTGAGCAGGACCTTTTATCAGAAGAAAATTGATGAATGCTGGTGGTAGTTTGTTCAACATGCAAAAGCCATCAGGGTCATTATCAATAAGTACTCCTAAAAATTTAAAAATACTGATAAATATAATTTAATTATGAAAAAAAGAACTAATTTATTAATGAGCATAATTATTATAATATAAGTAGATAGCAAAAATATCATTGAATGATTAAACATATTATTAAATTAACAATTAATTACCTGTGCTAGTAAAGTTGGTCTAAAAATCAACAGGACTTTTAGCTGAATTTACAAAAGTGGCAGGTGTACTGCGATTATCTATGTATGACAATACAAATAAATAAATAATTATTTCTTTAAAGTAGTAAATCAAATAAAAATGATTTAGGTAGGTACTTCAAAAATATATTAATTACCTGTACTAGTAAAGTTGGTCTCCAAATCAACAGGACTTTCAGCTGAATTTACTAAAGTGGCAGGTGTACTGGGATTACCTATGTATGACAATACAAATAAATATTTTACAAGGGTAAATTATTTGAATATGTAACTTGATTTAAGAAAACAAAATAGTAAATAGTTTAGTTTTTATTGTGGATTCTGATAATTAATAATAAATGTTTATTGTTTATTTGTTTATTTATCCGCCACATTCAACTTATTTGTTTATTCAATGGCTAAATTTTATCAGAGATTTTATAGTTATTCCATTATTGTTTTGTTAAAATTATAAATTATAGGAGCATATAATTAAATTCCATAAGTCATAGCCGCTAGGCATAAAAAAAAAATTGTAGGTATAAGTTATTAATTAGTTTTTCCATTTTCCATTATTACAAATAAAAACTTTTAATATTGTATTCAAAATAAAATCTATCAAAATATTATTATACCAGGACTATAAATTATAATAATTAATATTAATTACTATAAGACTAAATAAACATTAACCATATTATAATAAGTAGATAGTAGCTAGCTATAAGAACTATATTTTTTATTAAATACGAAAAAACACGTAGTCCAGACGTGACACCTTTGAATTTTTTTTGGGGGGGGGATTTGTGAAGAATGCTGTTTATGATATAATGCCATCCAGTAAAAATGAGCTGATAAAAAAAATTACAGAAGTCTGTTCAAATAATATACCAGTTGATATTATGAAAAAATGTACAACTGAAAATGTCTTTTGTATGTCATTTTGTATATCACAAAATGGTCAACATTTTGAACACATATTAAAAATAAATAAACCAAGAATTTTATGTAGTTGGATCTTCATACATTTTTTCTTTCAAATCCTTATTAATTAATGGTCTTGGACTCTTGGGATTCCGATTTGATTGTTAATCAAATAATATCACTACATTAATTTAATATTAGTTTTTGTACAATAAAAAAAAAGTTATAAGATTTTCAAATAGTGTAACTGTAAAACACGATTTTAGATAGGTAATTAATTAATTAAATTCTTAAATAGTGCTGTAAAATTATAATATCTATTATAGTATTATTCTATTTCATTTTCTACTATTATCATACAATATCATACAACATTCATATCATTCACAATATCACAGAACAATATTATTTAAGATAATTGATAGGACTATCTTAAATCGTGACAATAAAATTGTGCATTATCACCTAAATATGGGTATTTATTATTTACTTTCTGCATAATATTATAATCATATTACCAGTCACGGACTTATCAAGGTATACCTTAGTCATTAGTGGTAAGTAATAAGATATAATTATATGGTGATACCATTTTAATTTTTAAATAATTATCTGTGAAATTGTGATTAAAATAAATTTGTCATAATATATTTCCAGTTTTTATTTATCATTCTTTGGTAATTTGGTATGTCCAATTAGTCGATAAGTTAATAAATGATTAGAGTTCAAAGTACAATGGTAATCTATAATTAATTGTTATTTATTTTGTCACCTTGGGTTCAACGATATCAAATTTATGATTAGCTTCTGGTCTTTACAATTATTGAAAACATTTTGAAAACCACCAATATTTTGAGGAGCTGTATCTCGCAAACGAATCATCTAAAAATAAAAATGTTAACGCGTAAATTCACAATAAAAATGGTATTATTAATTCATGATATTTTTATTATATGTTACCATTTGAAAATCAAAAGTTGTTAGTGGTTTCACTAATAAATATAAGGGTGAAAAAAATTAAAATATTATACGGTTTTAGAAAAACATAAACCTACAAGTTAAAAAAAAAAAAAAAAAAAAAAAAGAAGTTAATACTTTTCGAGATAATTAGTGTACCCACTTAAATGAATCACCCTGTATACAGTATATTATTATCTTTATTGCAATAAAAATATAAAAATATATATTAATATTATTTTATCTACAAATATTAAAACTTAATAGATCACTATTTGATGTAGGTATCTAAGAATTTTATAATTTTTTAGGTAGGTACTTACCTATGTGTTTCTTAATAAGAACACTGATAGGGGAAAAAAAATTGGGATAATTTATTTGAAAGCTTTATATAATTTTAAATGCTTTCACATTTTTCATTTAAATAATATAATAAATGGCAATAACTATATTATAGGTATAGGCTTCATAGCGTATTTAAAAAATAAAGTTCCAGACGTGCTTGCTGTACATTGCGTCATTCATCGCCAGCATTTAGTTGCAAAAAATCTGAGTGAACGCCTGCATACATCACTGCATTATGTTATTAGAGCAGTTAATAAAATCAGAAGCAACTCACTAAATTATAGATTATTTAGTCAACTTTGCGTTGCTAATGATGAAGATTTCAATCGATTGCTGCTTCACACAGAAGTGCGCTGGCTGTCAAAAGGTACTTGTCTGACTCGATTTTACAATCTGTTTGACTCTATGATAGAGTTCCTGAAAAATAAAGACACAGGACTTCGCGATAACCTCATCACATCAAAGAATGATATTTCGTACTTGACAGACCTCTACAAATTATTTAATGATGTCAATCTCCAACTTCAAGGTGACGACTAGAACTTGATTAAAACAAAAACTGTCGTTTCTACATTCGTTGCCAAACTGCAATTATACAAGAGAAATATTGGTAGACGTGAATTTAATAACTTTCCTAATTTAGCAGCAGCATATTTTATCAACGATGACTTGGTTGTTTACTGTCAACACTTGGAGAACCTCCACAATGATTTCCAGGACATTTTAAACATGGACATACCAGACTGGGTATTAGATCCTTTTTCGAATGTCAGCACAGCAGAATCATCCCAGTTAGAAGAACAACTTTTAGAATTGACCACAAATGAGGAAATCAAATTCAAATTCAAGAATGGCTATCATGAATTTTGGCCGCAAAAGCCAATCATGGAGCTGTACCCTAGTTTATGGTCGATTGTTCAACGATTTCTGATAGCATTCCCATCATCGTATTTGTCTGAACGTGGATTCAGTGCTGTAGCAACACTGCTAACAAAAAAGAGAAATCGGTTGCTTGTTACCGAACGCGGTGATTTACGGCTGTTTTTAAGTAAATTTGAGCCAGATATTAACAAACTCGTTAATGCACATCAAGTTCATCCATCACATTAAGTAAATTTTATATTTTGAATTCATAACTTTTTTAGCATGATTTTAATAAAAATAATTTTAATGTGAATAATTTTAATTATAAATGTTTCGTGTTAATAAAAATACTTTTAAGTATGAAAAAGTATGCGTTTTAATTGCTGTCATTCAAAAAGCTAATTTAAAATTTATGTTAGAACTCAGAAATTAGATATAGCATATTTATATATTATAAATTGTAATATCTATTTTTAAAAGACATAATAGATGCTAAGTTAAATTTTTTTTTTTTTTGGGGGGGGGGCGCTAGAAAATTTTTGATTCTCAAAGTGGGCGGTGGATGAAATAAGTTTGAGAACCTATGCTATAGGTATTTAATTAATATTTTTCATTTAAATAATAGGTATAATAGATGGCAATAACTATATTATATATAAATTACACAAATTCTATTATTGGCACCCCATGCCAATAACTAACCAAATAGAAATATACAATATAGTTATTGTGTTACGTACCTACGTATTTAGTAATTAAGTAATAACAATGTACGACGTAGCGCAGGTTTCTAATAGTACTCGACGATATAATTAATAAGGCAATTAGTATATTATAACACGTTAGGGACACTGTAAAAGTATCTCTCTAGGAAAGTCAAACATTCATACGAAGGATACGAGTCGACCAGCATACCAAGTACGAGACCCGGACGCAGTCTCATGACCGAAATTTGGCCATTGATACAACCACCCACTCCAAAGGACTCGATCATATAAATACCAGCCCGGGACAAGAGCTCGGCAGACGGTTAGGGATACTCAAGACATTTGGAGTCAGGTCATAACACCGCTCACATCTCCACCATAGCTTATATACATTGTAATTTTGTACTTAAATAAATACTCATAATAACCTATTGCATCAAGTATTCATTTCCACGTTGATGTATAAATCGACGTCAGTTGGGACGCAGCAATTGTCATCTATTATATTATTTAAATGAAAAAAATGAAAGTATTTAAAATTATATAAGTAAGCTGTAA